ATAATACACAAAAACTTAATTAGATAACTAATAATATTCAATTTGAAAATCAAAATCAAATTGAATTACTTACTTTACATATATATGATGATGCAATAAGTGAACATAAAGAAGAAAGATCAATGAAAAATATTAAAATAATTGGTGTACAAAATCAAAATTTAAAATCAACAAAAGATTATTTAGATGCATTAAAAATGATTACTTTAATAGAATCTTTTCAACCATATCTTCAAGAATATATTATACCAATAGTTGCTGATTGGCCAGGACAATATTTTATTCGAAAATTTTAACACATTATTATAAAAAAGTTGATACATCAGATTTTAATTCTTTAATAGTTTCTGAAAATATTAGTAATTTTATTCTAATTATTGAACCTCTTCATATTTCTTTAAATTTTTGCAAACAAGTTATTCTTGTTCATTATTCATTTTTTAAAAAATTTTTCATTATTTATTTGGTGAAAAAATATTTGCAAAAAAACCTAAACCTTGGAGAATTAATTTATTACTTGAATTAATTCATAATAGATAGAAAAAAATATCACAAAAAATTTTATTAAAATTTGAAAATAATTGTACTGATATAGAATACAGAATGATATTAAATCTTTTAGATGATTTAGTACCTGCAACTTTGGATATATATGCAATTCTTTTTAGATCTGGATTTTTTAATCAATATTTTAATACTTTATTTCGATTATAAATATTTGCATTATGATAGAAAAGAAAGAATTATAAAAAAGCACCTTTAGCTTTTATATCAGATTATCTTTATTAGCAACAAATTAATCATCCTTTAGCAAATATTATATCACAATCTTTAGTTAATTTTAATGATTATTTTGTTGAAAATTTTCATAGTAAATTACAAGCAAATATTAATATTAATTATACAGCAAATCATATTATTGAACAATCATATTTATTAGATATACAATTATTTAATACTTTTCGTACAGAAAAAATATATCCATATAAACCAAACCAATTAGATTATTTAGCTAAAAAAAGTAGTTTATTTTTATTAGAATATTTTTAAAATATTTTTCAAAATATAGAAAAAAGTAAAATAATCAAAACTAAAGATAATATTAAATTTTTTATAGCAACACTAGATGAAATTGTTAATCTTAACTGTTTGCCAACTGGTTATCATACAGCTCATTTACTAGTGATCATTGTAAAATTCCTATTAGATATTTAACTAGTAAAATATATATTTGTGGACATTCTTATCATGATGAATGTTATAATATTCACAATGGTTGTAAACATTGTTTAGAATATTATAAAAAAAGAATTACTAAACAAGCTAAAGCATTTAAAAAAGGATTAGAAAAAATTGAAGATAAAAAAGATATTTTAAATAATAAAGAATCAAATGAAAATGATAATAATAATTTAAATGAAGAAAAAAATAATAATAAAACAGAAGAAGATAATAAACTTCAAATAGCTATTAATACTATTGATTAATAGATAACTATATTATAAATTAATAATTATTATATTTATAATACTATAAATGTTTATTTAATAAATTATAATTTAATAAATTAAATAATAAATTATAAATCAAAATATAAATTATAATTGATATTAAAATCTTAATTTTATTATAATACTAATTTATTTTAATAATAATCTATAATAATATTAATTCATAATAAAATTATACATTATAATATTAATTTATTATAATACTAATTTATTATAATATAATACAATATCAATTTATTATAATACTAACTTATCATAATATTAATCCATTATAATATTAACCTATTATAATATCAACTTTTGCTGCAACATCAGATTTACATAATAATACTGACCAATGTCATAATATCTGATCTATCATTATATTAATTTACTATTTTATGCAATATGTACAAAAATCTGTACAATATTTCGCTATACAATACATAGCTTTAGATTTAACAAATTATCTAATATAATTACCTTTATACATGAATAAATAAACTTCATTGAGAGAAATATTATGTAAATTCTACAAAATCGAATATGTTTTACATGTAAATAGTGGTGAAAAAAAGAGAAATGCTTTTAGTTAAGGGCTTTAAGTTTTTTTTTTTGTATCTTCAAGGTAAGTATTGCTATTACTCGTCTTGTGGAAAAGGCTATACTTTATTATACTTTTTTTTTCTGCTCAGGTGTAATAATTTATTAGCAAAAATCATGTAATTAACAAACTTTAGGATAGTAATAGAGATAGGCTTTATTACACGAGGATTTTTAACTTTGAATGGTTTGTTAGACTATATATAAAATTCTTTATTCTACCTTGTAAAGTATACAAAATATGCTACGTAGTCATCCTTATTTACATAGGTTATTAGGTTAGAATCATATTGCCAATTCTTGTTTTTCTTTAAAAAAAAAAAAAAAAAAAAGAGTATAAATAAAGATGATAAGAACTGGTTAAATTCAATTAATTAAATACTCATATTATCGAATACTAGATTGAATTGTTGCAAATCAAATTAAAGTCTACCCTAACCCTAATACCGTAATAAAACTCTTGGTAAAATGGAAAAGACCCTGAGTATACAAATAGAAAGAACTAAAAAAACAGAACAAACCTTTAATTATTAAACCCACCCATACAAGATACCACGGGTCTAATTATAG